AGTCTCAGACAGCAAAAAAAAAAAAAGAGAGCAGCCATACGGCGACGGTACTAGCTAATGTGACGCAGAGCGGGCAATGTTGTTCCTGTCAGGAAGGACTGGCGTGCATGAATATGTGCCGGTGCATGCCACTGCTCCCCATGTCAGCATGTTCGTCATCGTGGCAACAAATGGCTGGAACAGTACAATCATGGAACCTCGAGAGCCAGCTGCTATTGTGCAGCTGAACGCCATTACTCACTGCACCTTTGTGCGGGAAGATCCACTAGCCAATCATGCGCGCACTGTATAATGTAGTTATGGGATCAGACCAACTCGGCAGCTGATGGGGAGCATGCCATGTAGTACAGTACAGTGCTAGAAAAAAAAGGTCGTGGCAAGTTTCGCAGTCTCGGTGAAACGCGCGTCAGAGCCTTAGAGAGGTAAGGAGATTCATCATGGAATCTAAATCTAAAATGGGTCTTCAACATAATATCTATAGCCTCCAATAGCGTAGCTATATGGAAGACCTATTTTGGGTGTCAGAAGAGGCATAACCTAAATCTGAGTATCATCTCTTCTGGAGACCTATTTACAGAAATAGTTATCTTTTGGGTCTTGTTGTGGGAGAAGACTAAAAGTAGGTATTGAACACTTTGTATTTAACGCTACCTAAAGGATGAAATGATTTTATATTTTGAATCACGGTTGTTGGAGACATGTGGTGCACGGAATCGCGGACGACGGCAATGTATTCACCGTCATCCGCACTCGCAGACAACGCAATCCCGGCGGACCCCGGCCGGCAGCGGAAAAGCCCTTCCATTCACCTAGCTAGATCTGCCGGACGGGCAATGTCATGGCTGATCGATGAAGCGAAAACGAATAAAATTTTGCTAGCTAGTGACGGCTGAGAAGCGTGAACCAGCAGCCGCCGGCCGGGGATTCTTTCCGTGATACTGTTTGCTAGCCATGCGATTTCGATTTCCTCTTGGTGGCATGGCCGTCGCTTGGCGAACTGGTGGAGCCGTGGAGGCCGCCGAAACAGCAGTCCGTACCAGCGGACGACCAAGGTCCACGGACCACCCACCTGTTGCAGGTGTCTGCGTGCGACTTGGATGCTGCGCAGTGGATGTCACTGTTACCGCGTGGCGTGCGTCACTCTGCTCGACTTCTCATCTGGATCTGGGAGGAAGCTGCCATCTGAATTTCTGATGGTAATAACTGACTAACTGGTGACTTGAAGGTAGTTGTAATAACTGGTGAGCTTTACCCCCAGCACAAGAGTTTTACTTTTACCGTGAAGGCGTGAACCTGAGTCCAACCGTCAATATAGCCGGCGTTCAGTTGCCGCTATTCAATCTTCAGCACGAGTAAAGGTCGATAAGCGCAATTGACAGACAGTCTAGCCCCAAAGGGTATTGGATTGTCACCAACAACAATTCAGAGTGGACAGTGGAGCCTCGTGACACACGATTCGGTTCATGCCAAATTGGCAATGTCAGGCAAGCAAACAGTTTTCCTACCAAGAAACGTATATCTGACGGCCTGTGCAAAACTGTTTGTAATAATTTTTTGCCCATCATCACCCGCCATACGCACAGCTAGATGCTCTGCAAGAATGATACTAGTATTGCTATCTTGGTACTAGTATTATGGTAGTAGCTGAGAAACATTGCTCTGCAAGAATGATACTGTGCATATAGCAACTGACAGATGCTCACAACAAACCATATAGCAACATTAAGAGTGTACAGAGTCTGTGCACATCAGATGTACAGCAGCGACATTTCCAGCCTCTGAGCATTTCTCTATACAACGACCAAGGCCCATCTGCTAACAACTTTTAAACACTGGTACTCTGATGAGCCCAACTAAGCACTAGAGGGGAACATACAGACCGTTCTGAAAAGCATATATATATATAGGTAAATGTCTGGTGAAAGATGACGCTGTTTAGTTCTCCGCATTTATTCCAAAAATCCGGACCTTGTGCATATTCGGTAGTTTGGCGACCACAAGCACACTAACGGCAAGGGTATTGAGGAAGAGCATAGGTCGTTGGTAGTCTGTGGTGTGCAAAGCTATCAGATACCTGTCAATGAAATACGGAGGGAAAAGCAAGCTACAGTTAGTAACAAAAATACTAGATAAAAAAAAAGAAACGCGTAGCTGAGAGTTTCTGCATTGCATTACTCATTTGCATTAGCATAAGAGTAGTAACGAATCAGGCATGAAAAGTAGTTAACTTTTTTTAGGATTAGCTATAGTCTATCATGCATGTTCACTATATGCCATGTGAACCTGATGGAGTGCTTGAAAAGATTAGCGACAGGAGAATGCACAAGTCACATGAAAGATCAGTCTATATTAATTGATCTACAGCTCCACAGTTATAACACACTCAGGATAAAGAACAGTCAGCAATGTGTACAAGCTGATAAATATCTGTCAAAATTACTGCAGCATTGCACTACCATGAACACCATTATGATATGCAAATGCAGGTAAGGCATTGAATTGTACACATTATGTCGCAGAAAAACTCTAATGTCCATGCTACAACTAGAAAATGTGCTCTACCACCTACATGGCAATATTCAAGGTTTATCCCACATTCCCACTAAGCATGCCATAGATAATGACGCTTATTCTAAGACAGCTAACTATAGCTTATTGTTAATGCTATACATGAAGCGGTTTTTCTCAGTGCAGCTTGTTGCTTTCTTGACAGTGAAAGAAAAGTGGGATGTGTTCATGCCTGTAGATCCAGTGAGTGGTCCCAGAATACTAGCAGGTCCCAGAATAACATAGGGCCTGTTGGGATCACTGGACTAAAGTTTAGTCCGTCGTTGGATAATAGGCTAAACATGGACTAATTGAAATTTTCTTTTTTCTCATGAGTTCTACTCATCAATTAGCCTCTATTAGTTTTTGTTAGACTATGATTAGTCCATGCTTAGGCTTTCTATTTGGCATCCAAAACATGGACTAAAGTTTAGTTTAGTCCATCCAGACACCCCCATAGGCAACTTACATAGCCTACTATAGAGTATAGAGACATTACTAGAAGCAAAAGGCAAGTTTCCACAAATTGAACAGAACTCAGAACGGAGAAGATCACAAAGTTGAAGCAGCAAATTTCTCCAGTGAACTGTGGCTATGGACAACCCAGTGAACCTGGGTATGGACAACCAAATTCAGAGCAGAGAGAACAACATGAAATTGTAAACTAGGCCTTTAACTTTCAACATAAAGTGTGACTGCTACACAAAGTGAACATTTGATTGCTTACACTACCATATTACCATTGTTACGTTAACTTCCTAATTAATTTTAAAATGGCCTTTTTCCTCTTAGCAGCAAGCAGGGGCAATATTCATGAAATCTAAGTGCATGGTGTCATCAAATGGCATGAAAATGTCTTCAATAATCAAATACAACGCTATTCCAGCTTTGCACATTGTGGAAAGTGTAAATCATGATTCCATCAGATATTCATATTGAACTACTGAACCATTAAAGGGACAAACTGCACTAAGTTTTTTCTCGTGATGACCGATAGTAATGCTAGAACAGAATCAACAAGTTCGCAGCTACCAAGCACAAAAAGGTAAGCTCATATTTTCACAGAAACTGCCCTGACTATCTGCACGAAAGCTATACTAAGAGTATTTTAGTTTCCAAAGGGCAAAGTTATATCTGTTTCTCTGACAAGATCATCAAAGAGGATTAGATTGGCGATCATGCTTTCATTTCATTCCTTGAGAACCATGATAAAAGTCATATGCATAAACAGGCAATACCTTACACTCCGCAATTTTCTCCATGATTTATTTATATGGTAGTGTTCCTAAACAAGTCAAGTAGGCTACCTAAATGAACAGATGGTTTCCTAGTTCCTATATAACCTGCCAACTAGGTCATAGAGTCACTACTATGGGGTGTCTGGCTACCCTTCTTTTGTTTTATTGTCAGGGATAACAAGGCATTCAGGGGCCATTTGGCAGTACTCCTTGGAGCAGCTTCTATGTGAGAATCACTACTCAGACAACAGCAAAAACCCGCACAGATTCTGATGGGGACTAGACAAGACACACTTCGCCATTTACACTAGAAGCTGGGAGCTAAAAAACACGCTCCTCGCTGCTCCCTATTCAATCACCACTGGAATAACTCCAGAATCAATTCTCGCCTGCTCCCCACCCTATTCCCCCACCAAAATCAACTATAATCACCCCATCAAAGAATCAAGTGGAGCTCTACCAAACAGGCCCTCAACTATCAGGGAACACAGCTCCCTACATAAAGTGTCTCTTAGTATCAGATTTCATTTAATTTAGAGATAACAATATGCAAATAAGAAACTAACGTGTACAAAGAAATCGCACACCAATGGACTCAAAGATTACATAAAAGTTTTCATTTCCTACAAAGCAAGGATAGGGGTTATGGACCATAAGTCAAACCTCAAACAACACAGTTGATCAGTTGATGGGGATAAACAATGAGATCTCACATAATAGTGGACTCATTTGCATTTCTGAAATATAATACATTATTGATAAGTCCAGAGCCAGACAGATTATGGTTTCAGTAATTAGTAATGGTCATTGGCCTAACAGGGTGGTAAACAGTGAGATTTCCCACAACACAGTGGTCTCAAATGAACTGAAATATAAGAATCATTAATAAGCCTGGGTTCATAGAGATTACAGTTTCCATTAAAAAATACGAGCAATTGAAGAATTCTAAAAGGATCGAGAAATAGCATAAAACTGAAGCAACTGCAGAATCCTTTTTTAGGAAAAAGAAAATGTACGTAGTGAACTAATATACAGATCAGATACTATGGAGGAATATGGAATATTCCTATTAAGTCAACCATCACAAAAACAACTACATCAGGGATGGTGTACAAACCATTCAATAGTTATTAAAAAGAAAGAAAAAAAACAAACACAGATTAGGCTATGAAAACCAGAATACCTATATGCATGATCTAATACAAGTGAAAGAAACTATATCTGCCATTCAGTATTAACGGAACATAACCATATCCTATATAAATCAACATTTAGCGGTTTCAAATATCTCTCATGATATTGCGTTCTGGGTCGACAAAACATTTTGAGTGTATCTATCACATAATATTTCTCCTAAACATAGCCATAGAGAATGAAAATGGAATTGAACAGAGAAATACGATGGGCAGCACTTACAGGACTACAGGAACAACAATGAGGAACTTCCTATTACGAGTAAGCTGTTTGCCGTTGTCCATTTGTTCCCACCAAGTCAATCTGTTGTACATTCCCTGGTCATCAGCAAAAGGTGTTCCTTTCTTCCAATGGAAAAAGTGGTATGTGATCTGAAAAATAGGATTCACATTCCAGATGGCAAGTGTTATTTGGACAAAGTTGCTTAGAGAAATGTTTAACAGATAGTACAGGAAAATTCAAGAATAGGGAACATTTAAATGAAGATAGGGAACATTTAAAACACCTATAGGCTAACAAAGTGAGAATCCCAATGAGATCAATTTGCATTATTATTAATACTACAGTGAGGAATTCATCATCTGAGAAAAAACATACTAAAAGTGATATGTCAGAGTACCATTTGTACAAATTTGGAAGTTCCTAAACAAGGCAGACTACCAGGCAAGCTAACAAAATATGTAGCAACATCATTCATCAATGCTAATATTTGTGTTATTTGGCCTTCAGACATTATGAATTTAGGAACTTTGCTTACAAATGATATGCTCAACCAACTTTGATCATGTACGCATGAAGTGCATTTTTACTCAATTGATGTACACAAAAATATTTGGCTCTGTTCTTAACTATATGGTCACCACCCTGAACTGAACTAACTAAACTCGAATGCTGAAGTACCCTGAAATTTACATAAGCTATCGGCCTATGAGGATTAGCAATTCTGCCAGGTGGCCGCACCTAGACGAACTCCTATATATTGGCTGTCCTAACAGTATAATTGAGGGAGCACGAAGCAAGCTTCATATGCAGATAGCATCGCGCATTAACGCCCGCGTAGGCGGACCGAAGCATTCGTTACAGCCTCGAAGAGTTCAGATCCACCCCGGGTCAAAATTTCAGCAGCAAATGGGAACCCCACACGCACATACGAGGCGGGAGGGAGGCTTGGGGCTTGAGAGGAATCGGAAGAGGCGGTTACCGCGAAGTGGAAGAGGTTGACCACGGTCCACGCGGTGCCAGGGGTGCAGCCGAAGACGGAGAGGACGAGGAGCCAGGAGAAGAAGACGATGAGGATGTAGGTCGTCCAGACGCCCGGGTACATGAACCACTCGGTGTTCTTGTTCAGATCCGTGGGCGGGAACGCCTGCACGTATAGCTTCGCCATCGCGGGGCTCCCGAGCAATCCCTAATCGCCGGCCGGCCGGCCTCGCGAACCCTTCCGCCCCCGGCGACGGGAGAACGACAGGACACGGGGGGACAGACGGGAGCAGCAGCGAGCTGTGTGGTTGCGTGCCTGCGGTCCGCTGTGGCGGCTGCGACGGCTGCGGTGGCGGGATTTATAGGTGCGGGATCGGAGGGGACGAGGAGGGAGGGAGCGATGGAGGTTGGAGCCGCGGCGTTCAAAGATGGGGGCGAAAAATTAACGAGGCGGTGAGAGGGACGGGTGAGATGGAGGAAGAGGACGGCGAACAGGAGCGGGCTGCGGGCGCGTGGGATGAGACTGGCGAGGGAAGGAAGAAAACACGACGTCGTCACGGACGACTGGGTCAAAGATGGAGGGAAGCGACTGATTCTGGGCTCTCATGGGCCGGGCTCAGTTTCGGCCTCTTTGAATGATGTCTCGTTTAGTTCGCGAAAACTTTTTCCAAAAAAATGCTACAGTAGCAATCACATCGAATCTTGTGATACGTGCATGGAGCATTAAATGTAAACGAAAAAAAACTAATTGCACAGTTTCGTTGGAAATTGCGAGACGAACGTTTGGAGCCTAATTAGTCCATGATTGAACATTAATTGCCAAATAAAAACGAAAGTGCTACAGTATCCAAATTTTCAACTTTCACCCAACTAAACACGAGCTGAGTGGCTAGCGCGGGGCCGAGGCAGGCGCATTGGTACTATAATTTTTATATTTTTATTTTAAATTCGTTTTTGAAAAATTAATTTGTCCCAACAGAAATTACAGAATTAATACTCCCATGCTAATTCATATGTCCAAGTGAACGGATGGAATTTTCCTTGCTGTTGATTTTGACGTAATTTCATAAATTTAAAAAAAATCCATACGAGCTCGGATCAAGATTTTAGAGAACGATTTAGTAGGGGTCCTGAACCCTCCTGTTCTCTAAAAAAAGATTTTAGAGAACGATACTATAACTTTATATTTTTATAAATTCTCGTGTTGAAACCATTTTGTTTACCAAAAAATCATATACATCGTTCTTAGATCTAAACCTTATACTCTCTCTATTTCAAATTATAAAATATTTTAATTTTTTAAGATATATTGTTTTTTACTATATATCTATATTTACGGAGTGTATATATCTGAAAGCATCTCCAAGAGTTTTGCTAAAGTTCACTCTCTAAATCATCATATGAGAGCCATTTGCATAAAAATCACTATCTATATCTTTTGACACACTCCAGCAATTTTTCTAAATCTGGTGTGCACTCTATCTCATTTTCTATATTTGGCTAGCAAGAAATTCGGAATAGAAGACGAATATATTTGATATTCAATTAAAGAAGTTGTTGGAGCTTTTTTATACCAAAATCTCTATCTCTAGCAATTATCAGTTGGCTAAGTTCCTTGTGGTGGAACCTGCTCACCCGAGTTCAAGTCATCGACTTGGCACGGGTGCTCGCATTTTTCTGGATTTATTCCAGGATTTAACGCCGCTATGCTTTCAATGATAGGCGACATCCCCGTCGACAGCGAGGCGCCTGTGGTGACTTCATGAATCTCGAGATCTGCAGGCTTAGTTCTTTAGAGTTGCTCATAGGGGTAGAATTTGCGTACGTGTGTTCATAGAGGGGAGTGTGCGTGCGTATTGTGGGCATCTGCGTTGTACTGTGTAATTCTAAAAAAAATAGAGTCTCTTGGAGTTGCTCTAAATACTACATCCGTCCTCAAAAGAATGCAACTATGGGTTACGTGCCATGAGAAGTGATTCACGTTTGATCAAGTTTTTAGTGAATAATATTTATATATTATGGTTTTAAATTAATTTATTATGAAAATATATTTCGTAATTAATCTAACGGTATTTATTTGGTATCATAATCATGGATATTTTTTTATTCAAAATTGGTCAAGTTTAAGATATTAGAATAGAACATGACACTGACATTGTGCTAGAATTAGATTCTTTTTTTGGGAAGAAGGCAGTGTATAGTAAAAGCTAGTTACGTAGAAAAAAAACAAAATATCATCATTTGAAAAGGAGGGATCATTAGCTGTTTCCAGCCGAAGGCCACGGGCACTAGAGAAGCAGATGCTTGTGCAGTTGTGCACTTGTTTAACCGTCACGCCAGTCGGCAGTCGCCGAGGCCTAGTGTCATCAAGAATTCGGGGCTGCTCTGCCCTGCCTCTTCTTCTGCCAGCCAAAGTTGTCAACCGCAGCCGGTTGATAGAGTCAAGAAGGGCCAGCCGCAAGCGACACAGCAAATATGTAGGCTTCGTTCCATAATGGTGGGACGGACTATGGAGACTAGTCTAGGTCAATTTCTGGACCGGTTCCTGGACTCTGACTGCCACCAGGATTCGGGCAAATTTGCACGATCGGAATGGACGGACGTGCTTGGAGACAGTTCCAGAAATGCGACTGTTTACAGCTCATTCTACCATCTCCTTATTTTCGGCCATTTGGATCGTTTCAAAGTCGTTGAGTCATGAACCATTGTGTATAATGCGCAACCTGATGAAGCATCTCAGTTCGTAAAATACAGTACAGAGACCGTTTGTCTTTTGCTTCCGACTGCTATATTTCAGGTTGCAAATACAGCGTTGACATTTCAGAACAATGCAAATAAAATATTAGCCTAAACCACCGATGCATTCCAGAGTTTTCGTTCAAGTGATACCAACCGTTTAACCATGATAAGGTGTACTGGAATGCTACAATCAATTTTGGCTCCTGTTTTTCACATTCAATAATTTATATTTATTATATATAATTTAATATTTGAAAGAGAAATTTTCTTCCTCTAAATTTTTGTCCCACCGCCACACTCTCACATGAATGTGTGACTTCACCTCGCGGGTCATATTGCAACGCCAATCTACTTTTAAAACATTCAGATACAACATTTACAACATATATCTAAAGAAAGATGAAACACTTGCAAAAAACACCAGAAACGCTTGAAAACCATTTGCAAACATACGATACATCTAAATAAAACACTTATAACATATGTGTGAAATATATATAACATCCAGATAAACACACTTAAAACATACGTCCGAAAAAAAATAAATGGAACACTCGAAACAGACGTTTGCAACACACGTGTACAACCATTGCAACATATATGTAACATCCCGATCTACTTTTGTAACATCCATACGAAACACATGCAACATACCTCTAAAACATCTGATATACTTAAAACATACGCATGCAACATACGGTTTCAGCGCAACACCTTCTTGTTGCTTGGGAGAATGGAGGCTCGTCGACGTGTGAAGTTCACTAGTGTAGAGCTCGCCGGTGGCACGGAGATTGCCGCTCCGGTGGAGAAGGCCACGGAAGGTTCGGTGGAGAAGCCCGCGTTGAGTCTTCACACTGTGCGGGTGGAGCGCGAGCTGTGTGCGGGGTGAGCTCTACTGTGAGCTGTGTGTGGCAAGTTCCATCCTGGCTGTCGTGAGCTGTGCGCGGGTGTTCCGCCCCGACCATGGCGAACTGGGCAGGCGGAGCGTGAGATGTGCGCCGGCATGCTCCGCCTAGGTTGCCATGAGCTGCACGCGAGCCTAGCTTCACCCCCGGCCACGGCGAGTTGGACATACGGAGCACGAGATGTGCGCGGGCGGCCTCCGCCCCGACCGGCCGCCGCAAGCTACGCGGGTGGAGCATGAGATGTGCGCGGTATGAGCTCTACTGCGGTGATTTTTTTCCAAAGAAACTACGACGACTAGAAAGCTGGACGAGCGGATATTAGGAGGTCATTTGGGCTGGTGTCGCGGCCCATGAACGGGAGCGTCCCAACGAGCTCGTCCACTCGCGCGTCTAGTCGCGTGGTCCAATCGGCAGCGCGTCCCATCCCCATGGGCCGACGAGCTATGTCTCTAGCGGCGCGACCAATCCTGGCGGCGCGCGTAGCCCCTGCCTCCCTCCCCGGTGGCGTGACCCATCCCGACAACGCATCCCCGGTGGTGCCTCCCTCCCTGGCGGCGCGGGTCCTGCCTCCCTCGGCGGTGCGGCCCCTTCCCAGCGGCGATCAGGCCATCCCGGCGATGTGTGAAATCCCTACCCCACCCCATGGCCAGTCTTTCGAGATGAGGAAGAAACTTGCGATGCGAGAGGAAGAACAAGATGTGAGGATGCCACTGAGGTCCGCTTGGAAGTGGCGGAAGTTTTTATAGAAGCCACATCTGCTCAACCAAAGGGCTTTTGGCTTTTCTCATAGCCCATATCCCACAACAACTTTTTCAAAAGCCACAGCCTACAACAGCTTTTCCAAAAGCCAAACCCAATTAAACAGGGCCTTAATGTGTTCAGGGCCAAATTACATAGCCAAGAGGTTTCTGAGATAATGATTAAGATGCTCTTTTGTAAATACAAGCCTCAACAGGGGGAAATTATGAAATTTTCCCTCGCACCTCCCTATAAAAGGGGGAGAGGGGGAGGTGGAGAGGGACCTAACCCTTGATTCATTTGCACCCTCTCAATTGCTCTCCACTCTCATCTCTCATTTGATGTTAACAGTAGAGTTTGAAGTAAATTGCTGGACTTTTGTAGCTGTCATGTCTTTCATTTCCTCCTCAGTCAGATCCGCTGCAGGGTCATGCTAGAGTGTTGGAACAACTGAGGACTGGTTGCTGTTACTCAAATCTAAAGAAGGGGCTGCAGGGTCAAGCTAGACCGTTGGAACAACAGAGCTTTTGGTCACCATCCTGTTCTCATGAATATGTAGTCATGTATGGACCTGCTAAGCCTAGAGGGATGTGAATAGGCCTATCAAAACAAAAACTCAAAAGCTCTATTAAAAACCTGAGCAACACTTCTGCTCAGAGGACCAACATTGCTGCTCAAGCAGCACTGCTGCTCGCACAGACCCACGAGCTTACAATTCAAAAAACTGCCCAAGGAAAAATAGGTCAGGTAAATTACAAAGCTTCCCGGGTAGTATTGAACCTATTCCACCACTTGAAATAGATTG